GGTGCACATGGTATTATTTCATTCATTTTTTATGACTGGGTAATATTCCATCATATACATATACCACATCTTTGTATCCATTCATCTAGGACGTAAATGCTTTGAATGGCCCATAGTCCCCTGTGTAGATTTACCGCATTGTCTTTGCCCTTTCATCCTCAGGTGGACAACCTTTCAGATGTTTCTTGAGTAGCTGCCTTGTGCCACCCCCTGGCCTAGGAGTTGGGGGTACCGCTGATTCAGCTACATATGACCTTGGGTTTGAAGATCTTGCAAAGCCAGATCAGGGAGTGAAGAGCAGAGTGGAAAGACTCTCCACGTGTGACACATGCTGGAGCAGGGAGGAGCCTCGAGGACATGATGCTTGTGAAGGAAGCCTGACATAAAAGGACAGAAACTTAGAAGTGATTCCACTTATATGAGGTTCCTTGTGGAGCCAGATTCACAGAGACAGGACAGAGCCTACGGGGTCGGGGGAAGGGGAGTTGGTGTTTAATGGGCTCAGAGCTTCTGACCAGGATGATAAAAGCGTTTGGAGGTAGATAGTGGTGACGGTTACATGCCATCATGAATGTAATTAATGATGCTAACATGAACACTTAACACGGTCAAAGGGGTCGAGGTTGTAACTTGCGCCTGTTTTACCGCAATAAAGAAGGTGATCAGGCTGGAGGGAGGGTGTAAACCAGCGTGACAGGTCACCCCACCCAGTTGGTCACTTGGGCTGTCTTTTCCCAGAGGAGGGTGGCACTGTGGTGGGCGGGGATGTCGCCCTGAGTCTGAGAGAGAGTGGCTGACCCAGTGGAGCAAAAGCGATGCTGTCCCAGGGGTCACACCCCCCCCCCCACACACACCCCCAGCAAACCTGGCATCCCTCAGAGTGTGGCTCCGGGAAGGAGAGGCAGTGGCAGTCTGTGCCGCCCCCTCCATCCCCTTTCCCAAGGATTCCCAAGTAGGAGCAGTGCAGAGCAGCAGCTGGTGGTGCTGTGTGACCTTGGATAAGTTACTTAACTTCTCTGAACACGCGTTTCCCACTTTTGAAGAGGGCAGCTCCTCTTTTTCTGTTTGCGTGCAGAGGCTGTAGTGAAAGGCATCTTGGATGTAAATGTGAAACCTCTTTTCTGTTAAGAACTTCCTTTTTCCTATTAATAGCATTTGATAAAGTTTGGGTATGAAAGAAAAACCGAGGTAACAGGGAAGAGAGTGAGCCGTGGGCAGAAGCCGTTGGAGGAGGTGGCTTGGACAGAGGTCTTGGGGGTGGGGATGGATCAGGAGAAGGCAGGTCTGGAGGTGGGTCTGACTGTTTTCGTGGAGGGGCTGTGGGCATCTTGGGACAGCAGAACCCCTCCCTCCATGTGCCCCGCCTTGAGGGTCTTCCCCCAAGACCCCATTCACTCGTATTGGTTGGGTGTCCCCTCCCTATACGGCTCTGGAGGCTCATTGAGGATCCCCACACATCACTGCCATCCTCAGTGGAGCTCATGGCCTGTTGGGGGGACATGTATGTTAATCATCTATCATGAGAGGGATTGTGAAGTTACAGGACTAAATTCATTGATGGTCTCTGGTTGGCCAAACCCCTTCCAGTGCATTTCAGAGGAAAAAAAAAAATCACACCCCATTTGTAAAATGAGTAGGTTAGACAAGAATTCTGTGCTGTTCAGTATAGTTGCCACTTGCCATGTGTCATTCTTTTTTTTTTTTTTAATTAAAACAATTTTTAAAAATTTCTTCTCCATGCTTTGTGGCATATGGGATCTTAGTTCTCTGACCAGGGATCAGACCCTCACTCCTTGCATTTGAAGGGCAGAATCTTAACTACTGGGCCGCCAGGGAAGTCCCCAATCCATGTATCATTCTTTAAATTGAAATGAATTAAAATTAAATAAAATAAAAAACTGAGTTCTTCCATTAGACTAGCTGCATTTTAAGTGCTCAAATGTCATGTTCGTGAAAACAGTTGGTGGTTCTGAAAAAAATTAAAAATATGACTACCATTTGATGCAGCATTCCCACTGGGTCAAAAATGTTTCAGAAAGCTTTGAAAGCAGGGGCTTGAGATAGTTGTATACCCATGTTCCCAGGCGCTCTGTTCACTAGCTAAAATATAGAAGCAACCCAAGTGTCCACTGATGAATGAATTAAAAATGTGGTCCATCCATACAGTGGAATATCACTCAGCCTTCAAAAGGAAGGACATCCTGATACCTGCTAGAGCGTGGATTGACCTTGAGGGCATTCTCCTTGGTGAAGCAAGCCTGTCACGAAAGGATGAATACTGTGTGACTCTGTTGACCTGGGGTGTAGCTAAATCCATGGAGACAGAAAACAGAATGAGGGAGTGGGAGTTCATGCTTAATGGGAACCGTTTCAGTTTTGCAAGATGAGTTAGGAGCTTGGGTGCAGAACAGCGTGAATGAACTTAACACTGCCGAGCTGCATGCTTAAAATTGGTTAGATGGATCATTTTATGTTCTGTAAATTTCACCACAGTTTCTAAGAAGTGGCACTCATGGCTGCCTCGCTGGGCAGTGCTGGAGTCACCCGTCTCCACTGTCCCGTCTAGCTGGCTAGAGTCCTCGAGACTGCAAGCATCACAGAAACCCTGAGTTTCACAGAAAGCATCTCTGGGCTGGTTGGCCTGCTGCCAGCCTCTACACGCCCCCATGAGGTCCTGAAGGCAGACCCCGAAGCCTACTATTGGGGTGGCCGGGCATAGCGGGAGGGTTCTGCGTCTTCCAGGCGGAGTGGGGCTTGCCCACTAGGGAGCCTCTCAGAGGAGGGGCCTGGGGGTGGGGGATGGACCCTCACCTGTGCGGAAGGCCAGGCCCTTCTCTCAGTGGGAAGGATGGCGCTTGTCGCGTTTCTGTGATTATTTCTCTAGCAGGGCCCTGGTGGGCAGGGGGTTTTGCTTTGGTTTCTGCAGGGGGTGTTGGTGCCTGTGGAGGGGCCGGCTGGAGCCTGCCTCTCTCTGCTGCTCCTGGAGCCCGGGGAGAGAAGTAGGGGGCGGTTCAGGGGGCGCTCCCCACCCCCCAAACCCCCCCACACACACCCTGTGAGGCTCGAGAGGCGGTGAGGGATGGAGGGAGATGTGGGGGCGGGGCGGGGGGCTGGCCCAGTCCAGGGCAGAATGGCTCCCAGACCCGCAGACAGATGGAAGCAATTTTTGGTCACGTGGGGCAGGGCTGAACTGCTGTCCCGAAAGACAGGGCCCCATGTCTGTCTCCAGGAAGCAGCCCCAGAGCCACACGTTCGGGCCAGATGCAGCTCTGCTCCTTGTTTATTTAACGATGCCGGAGCCCGGGGCAGAGTGTTTCTGAGCAGAGGCAATTCCTTCCGGGCCGTGCAGGGAGGAGGCCCCCCCAATGGCAGTCGAATGTGGGGGATCCCTGCCTCCCGGGCCCTTTGCCTTTCCCCGGCCCAGGGATGGGGTGAGGTGGGATGTGGAACCGAAGCCTCCAGCATCAGCCTGTTGTTAGGAGAGATGTGTGGACCCCCGGGCGGCCCCAGGCCTTGTTATATGTGTTACGTTAAGTGCTCAGCGCCCCTGTCTCTGCCTGTTCCGGGGAAAGGATAGGGACTGACTTGGGGATAAACCAGCGACACGCCAATCTCTGCAGTTTGTAAGCTAACGGGGCCAGTTGTCTTTCCACTCTTACTGGCCTGGGCATGCGGGAAGGAGAGGGTGCTGGCCCCCATCTCAGCTCCCTCGGAGGCTCCTGAGGTAGCTGCAGAGGTGCGGACTGGTGGGTGGGGTGGAGTCCGGTTATTTCCCCAGGAAAACAAAATGCAGTTTAACTGAAAGCTCGGCAGTGACCTTCCTGGCCTGGCGACCTGTGTCCTGCTGCCTCCAGGGGCAGGGTCAGGAGGGGATGGGTGGGAGGGCGTGTTTGGGAAGGCTGCCTGCCCACCTTGGCAGTGGGGTATGCCCCCTGGAGAGGTGGGCACCTCGGGGGCGGGGGGGACCTGATGTGCTGGAAACCAACATCACTCCCTCCCTGAGGGCTGTGGGAGGGGCTCACGGGCAGAGGGGGAGTGTTTGGACTCGCTGGGTGGTCGTTTCCCATGAGCTCAGGGTGTTGGGAGAAGAGACTGATCCTTCCTAGGAGGCAGGATGAAGCTGAAAATCCTTCTTAGCGGGCAGCGGGGGTGGGGAGAGCTTGGACCCGCGGGGGCAGGGGAGGTGTGGGGAGGGCCTTCGGGGAAGGGTGTGGTCTGGGTGTGCATGTAGTGGTGGGGGAGCTCACTGGGATGTGGCCGACCCTGGTGGGGAACCCGCATGGTCCTGAGGGCCCTGACCAGCCCTGCAGGCTGGGTGCCCCTCGGGTCCCCACTGGGAGCTTTCTGGGCATCTCCCCCACCCCCCAGGCCTCCAGCTGGGTCACATGGACTCTCAGGGCAGCCCAGGAGGAGAGGAGGAAGGCTCTGACCTGTAGACCGAAGCAGCCTGAGTTATTTTGAGCAGCTCGGTCCCATCTGCCCGTCTGCAGACCTGAAAGCAAAACTGCCTCCCAGGCTGTGGGTGTGGGGCCCCGCAGGTGCTGGGCAGCCAGAGACAAGACACGTGGATCCAGTCCGGGGTGGGAGGCAGGGGGGCAGTACCCACAGGTGCCGCCCATGGGCCCTCCCCTTCCTGCCATCGCCCAGGAACCACTGTGCCCGGAGGAGCTAGCTCTGTGTCCCGGCCCCCTGGCTGCCAAAGAGCGCCCCTTCTTCAGCACTCCCGCTGGCCCGGGGCCACCGGCAGGTGCTTGGGACTGGCCACGGCTCGTTCCCTCTGTCCTCCCTTCAGAAGGCCGCCCTCTCCTTTGTCCTGGCTCAGGACTTGAGTTGTGGGCTGAGGCTCTGTGGGTCAGGCGGACAGTGGCAGGACAGCCCAGGCCGAGGGATCTGGCTCTGGGGCGTTCCTCCGGGGGTCTCTTGGGCAGCTGAGCCTCAATTTCCCCCACCTGCTGTGTGTCCCCTGCCACCCCCTAACATGCCCGCTCCTCTTCCTGCAGCCACCGAGGCAGCTCCCAGCAGCGCTGGCGAAATGGCCGACACCCCCAGAGATGCCACACTCAAGCAGCCGCCCGCGCCGCGGAACGAGAAGGCCTCTGTGGACTTCGGCTACGTGGGGATCGACTCCATCCTGGAGCAGATGCGCAGGAAGGCCATGAAGCAGGGCTTCGAGTTCAACATCATGGTGGTGGGTGAGTCCCCTGCTCCCATCCCGTGAGCCGCCCACGCAAGGAAGCCCCCCTGCCCCAGCCCGGCCGTCCACACAGGCTCTTGTAAAACGGGATGACAGGCCTGGCCTGCAGGACAGATGAGCGTGCGGACTCTTCTACCGAGGTGATCCTCAGCGGCGGGGAGCCCGGCCCCCAGGGCTTTGGGCTGGAACCCTGAAGTGTGGGTGGTCTTGCAGTGAGGGATACTGACCCTCCCCACCGGGGTCCCAAGGCGGGGGGCTCTGTAGGGCTTTTCAACCAAACCTCACCTGGATCCTGGTGTGTGCCACAGCTGAGGGTGGACCATGCTGGTGGGGCCAGCCCCCACTTTCTCTCCCCAATGCTGTCTGCCTCTCAGCTCCTCCCGGGAGCCCTGGGACCTTGCGTGGGGCAGTTTGACCACCCTGTGGTCAGAAGGCAAGGGGTCCATGTCCTGCTCTGCCATAGAGCACAGCGAGAGCTTGGCCACTGCCCAGGCACCCAGCCCTTCCTGCCTCCTGACCGCCCCTGACCCGGAGCCCCACCAAGGAGAGCTGGCGGGTGACGCCCAGGCCTCGCCACCCCCCAGGCCCTTAAGCTGCCATCTCTGGAGCACCCTACCGACCAGTTGTGTTCTCTCCCCAGGGCAGAGCGGTTTGGGAAAGTCTACCTTGATCAACACCCTCTTCAAATCCAAGATCAGCCGGAAGTCAGTGCAGCCCACCTCGGAGGAGCGCATCCCTAAGACCATTGAGATCAAGTCCATCACACACGGTGAGAGCCGGGCGGGGACTGGGGAAGGGGTACCGAGTCAGGTCCCTCAGGGCAGCACCTGTGGGTAGGTTGAGACTTGGAGTGTGGTGGTGGAGGGCGAGGGGTCAGAGATGCTCTCCAGGATCCCTGCAGGCCCTGGCCAGAGCCCCCTGGAGACAGCTGAGTTTCCCACCAAAAAGCTCGGGCAGGGGGCTTCACTGCTGCACACTGGCGTCTCCCTGGCATCATCCCGGGGGCGCTGCAGGGGGGCCGCCATGGGGCAGGGTGGCCCCCGGCCGTCGGGGGCGGGGTGGTTATGTGCATAGGTCCCGAGTCTCCCCCCTGAGCTTGGTAGGGGCTGTGATTGTCTACAGATATTGAGGAGAAGGGCGTCCGCATGAAGCTGACGGTCATCGACACGCCGGGCTTCGGGGACCACATCAACAATGAGAATTGGTGAGGGGACCTCTGCCCCTGACGGAAGAGCCCTCACGGGGCTGCTGGGAATCTTGCCCCTCCCACCCCCCCGGGGGTCATAGGTCAGCCTGGGAGGCGGGGTCACAGGTCAGCCTGGGAGGCTGTTTCAGGCCTCTGTTGTGCTCAGGATCTCAGGTGGTACCCACCACACCCCCACCCCCGCTTCCCGGTGTTGGGCGGAGACTTGGGGGATTGGGGTCCTGCAGGTGAGGTTGGGGGTGGGGTAGGAGGCTGCTCCCCCACCTGGGGCAGTGGGGGTTCCATGCTCGCTGACTGCGTCCCCTCCATGCAGCTGGCAGCCCATCATGAAGTTCATCAACGACCAATACGAGAAGTACCTGCAAGAGGAGGTCAACATCAACCGGAAGAAGCGCATCCCGGACACCCGCGTCCACTGCTGCCTGTACTTCATCCCCGCCACCGGCCACTCGTACGTGCCCCGGCGCGCTCTGGGGCTGGGTGGGTTGCGAGCCGCAGCCTGAGTGCCCCTGATCTCCCTCTGGCCCCCACACTGCGTCTCACCCACCTGTCCACCATCCAGCTTGCCCACAAGGGCGGAGGACCACTGGCTGGCTGGGCCCAGGGTGGTCCGGAGCCTGGGCTGTGCCTTCTCAGGTCAGGCGTTCTGGCGGGCCTGGCAGGTGGGCAGAGACTCTCCAGCTGTGTGTCTTTAGCACTTCCCTGCCCCTCGGTGCGGGTTGCTAGTCCATAAGGGGAGTGCTGATGATGCGATAACAGACCCCGGCAGGGACCCCTCCACACACCCAGGAAGGTTTAGAGCACAGAGGGCAGCGGGCTTGGCTCCGGGCAGGGCTGGATAAGGGCTGTTAGTCGAGGCCACCTTGGAGAGAGCTGCTTTCTCCTGCCAGTTCCATCTGCAGCTACAGATTACGTACAAGTCAGTGAGGCTGGCGTGGGGTGGGTGCCCTGGAGCAGAGGTCGGGGGTCTCCTCGCCTCCTTTGAGCTGGGGTGGTCTCCCTCATGAGGGCAGATGGGCTCTTTGATTGTTTAGAATGTTAATTGTGCCTGTGAGTAAGGCCAGTGTTATTTTTTATATTTTTTTCTTTAAACGTGTGTGTGTGTGTGTATATGCATGCTGTCCAGCTCTTTGTGACTCCATGGACTGTAGCCCGCCAGGCTCCTCTGTCCTTGGGGATTCTCCAGGCAAGAATACTGGAGTGGGTTGCCATGCCCTCCTCCAGGGGATCTTCCCGACCCAGGGGTTGAAGCTGCGTCTCCTGCTTTGCAGGTGGATTCTTTACCCACTGAGCCACCTGGGAAGCCCCTTTTTAAAACACACCCATTTTTAAGTTTTTATATATTTATTTTTGGCTGTGCTGGGTCTTTGTTGCCGCTCGGGCTTTCTCTAGTTGGCGGCAAGCGGGGGCTACTCTGTTGTGGTGCACGGCTTCCCGTTGCGGCTTCTCATGGTGGAGCACAGGCTCTAAGGCACGAGGGCTTCAGTACTTGCAGCATGCGGGCTCAGTAGTTGTGGCACATGGGCTTAGTTGCCCTGCAGCATGTGGAATCTTCACGGACCGGGGATTGAACCTCTGTCCCCCGCATTGGTAGGCGGATTCTCATCCACTGCACCACCGGGGAAGCCCCAGATGGGCCCTGGATGGCCTCACAGACCCCTTGTCCTTGGTTCCCTGTGGCTCCGTCTGCACCTGATACCCCTAGGTGTCTTTCCACCCCCTGGTGGGCACCCTCGGGCTGGTCCTGAAGCAGGACGTGGGAAGGAGGTGAGCCCAGCACCCAGTGGACCCTGGGAGTGAGTGGGGGGAGGCAGCGAGGCTGGACAGAGGGGGACTGCTGGAGCCCGGGGTCCGGCTGGTCATCATGGCCTGAGGCTCTGGCTCTGACTCTTCTATACTCGGTTCTACTAGAAGCAGGAAGCCCGGGGTTGGGGGGCCAGCCTCGCAGGCAACGGTTACAGGAAGGAACCAGTAGGAACTGCGGGCCTCACCTGGGGGCCTTTGTGGGAAACCAAGCAAGTCCGGAGCCACCCTCAGCGAGGGTCTGCGCGGGGGCGGGGAACTCAGCCATGAGTCCCACAGCAGCCGGTCCAGGCTTTGCTCCACCAAGGCGATGCTGAAACCAGGGAGCTGTGACCCAGCCGGGTGCCACGCCGTCCCCTCCCCCAGACCCCGGGCCCTGGGATCGAGGCGGCTCCTCCCCATCCCCGTTCGGACATCCTCCTGGGGCCCGCCTCACCCTCGCACCGAGTCTGTAGCCGACTCTGTGCGGGGACAGCAGGGACAGCTCTGCTCCTGCTGGGAAGGCGGTGCCTGCCGTTCAGCAGTCCTGCAGCCCTGCCCCCGCAGCTGCTGAGAACAGGTCTCGGGTCGGGGTAGGCAGTGTGAGGAGAGGCTGAGGGGTAGCTTTTCCCCGCATCAGACCTTGGGCACCTGGAGCCAGCGGGCAAGGGGCCGGGGACGCCCCCGACAGCAGCCCCCCAGCTCATCCCAGGAGATGGGGCTGAGTGAGCGCCCATCTCCCCCCATACAGTGACGCCCCACAATCTGATGGCCCTCTGAGCCGGAGGCAGTCTTTCTCCAAGTGGACACATTGGGGGCTTTGGGAGCTCATGCCCAGGCCGCTTGGAGCTGGTCTGGACCCCCTCCCCCTCCTCCCCCGGTTCAGTGTGGCCCAGGATTCTTTTCCTTTTTCTGTCCCTCGCTGGTGCCTTGGCTGGCACTCAGCCCACAGCCTGGACCTTGTCAGCGTGCACCCACCTGGGAGGCCCCACAGGTATCCTGGGAGCCTCCCCTCAGCTCCCTCCAGGCAGGAGTGGGCCCCCTTTCCACGTTTCTGTCCCCGTTCCATGTCCCTCCCCCCACACCCTCATCCGTGTCCCTCTGCTCCAGCCTCAGGCCCCTGGACATCGAGTTCATGAAGCGCCTGAGCAAAGTGGTCAACATCGTCCCGGTCATCGCCAAGGCCGACACGCTGACCCTGGAGGAGAGGGTCTACTTCAAACAGCGGGTAGGGCTCTGCCTCCGCCTGCCACCCACCTTGGTGGGAGCAAGGCCATCAGACAAAATCCCCAGTTTTTATTAGATGGAAGAGACGGTTTTCATCAGGGGACAGATGGTCGCTTCCTTCCCAGACTCTGTCCCACTTGGACTGCTGTCCAAACACGAGGGCGAACCCTGGGCCCCTGCAGAGCCTTCTCCTCTGAGCAGGGAGACTCCTCACTCTAATTCTCAAAGCTCCACCCACAATCCCTTAGGTGCCAGGGATTTTCCCAGCATGCTTAGGGGAGGACAGTGCCCTGGCAATGGATGTGTCTGGAGGGAAAAAGAACAAGGAAGCCCCCGAAGCTGCGCCCGGGCATTTGTCTGCGCTCAGGGCAGAGATGACAGCTATTCATGGGACGTTTTCACTGATCACCATCCCTATGGACAGCTGTTGCAGTATGGGCCGCTGCAGTGAGAGGGTTTCCAGCTGGAGCTCAGGACGGGGAGGACTCGGCAGTCCTGAGTGATTTTCTTGGGGGTGTGATGAGCTGGAAGGCAAACACAGGGAGATGCCCCGTGCCTGGGATGGTGACCCTGGGTCCCTTGGGTGGCTGCGGTGTCCCGGCAGGCAGATCTGCAGCTGCCCCTCCACTCCAGCGGCACAAGAACTGAGAGTATCAGGGTTACCAGCCCCCCAAAGCCCACCCCTGACTCTGAGCCTGGGGCCACCTGCTCTGTGGAGGTCGCAGCATGGGCCGATCCCGGTGGGCTGTCCAGTTTGCCTCATGCACGGTGCCCACGTCTCTGCCCTCTGGACCCCAGATCACTGCGGACCTGCTGTCCAATGGCATTGACGTGTACCCCCAGAAGGAGTTTGACGAGGACTCTGAGGACCGGCTGGTGAACGAGAAGTTCCGGGTGAGTGCACCGACCAGACTGCTGTTCCCAGAGGCCCCTCACTTCCTGCTAGAGGACATGGGTGGGGGTCTTTCCTGGGGTCCAGGAAAACGGGTGGGATGGTCTTGCACCATAAGGAAGTGTTACCTGGGCTTGGGGGGGTCGGAGCCAGAGGGTCCACATGCAGCCCTCTCAGGCCAAGGGGTCTCAGGGCTGGGGGCCCGACTCAGGGCAGCTCCTGCCAGGGGCCCAGGGAGTGGACTGGCCTTTGCACGTGCAAGTGACTGATGCCTCCTGCCCTTCACCCAGGAGATGATTCCGTTTGCTGTGGTGGGCAGTGACCACGAGTACCAAGTGAATGGGAAGAGGATCCTTGGAAGGAAAACCAAGTGGGGCACCATTGAAGGTAATGGCTGAGCTGACGCCAGGGCTTCCAGACAAGTCAGGAGGAAAGCTGCTTCTGCTACCCAAGAGCTATGCACCTGGGCCTGACCTGGCGCTCTTGGGACCTTGTCTGTTGCCCGTTTGGCCACAGGAAGGGCTCCTGTGGTTACTGCTTGGTGGAGGAAATGAGAGGCTAGGTGTCTTGTCCGGGGCCCATAGCCATTAGCTGACGGAGCCATGCCTCTGTCCCAGTCCCCCACATCCAGGGAGGAAGGAGGTATGATGGGCTCTGCCAGGGTCCTGGTGCTGGGGTTTTCCATGCATGCTGTGTGACCCTGGACAAGTCACCCCACCTCTCTGGGCCTGGGGAAAGGGCTGGGCTGGAGTTCTGTCCAGCTGAGAGCCAGATGCCCTTCCCACTCCCTGCCCCCTTGGAGATCCAAGACCCCCACGTCTTCCTGTCCTGCGGCTTCTGCAACAGACCAGCACAGACTGGGTGGCTTAAAACAGAAGTTCATCCTCAGTGTTCTGGAGGCCTCGAGGGAGACTCTGTTCCCTGCTGCCCTCCCTAGTGGCTGCCGGCTGGCCTTGGCTTGTAGGTTCAGCCCTGCGGTCTCTACTCTGTCTTCCTCTGTGCTCCTGTCTTTCTTCTGAGAACACTTGTCACTGACCATAGGGCCCCCCAAATCCAGGATGATCCCCTCTTGGGGTAGATTTATTTATCTATTGCTGCACTGGGTCTTAGTTGTGGTGCTCAGGAGCCCCCTGGCATGTGGGATCTTAGTTCCCCAACCAGGGATCAAACCTGCATCCCCTGCATTGGAAGGTGGATTCTTAACCACTGGACTACTGGGGAAGTCCCTGAAATCCTTACTTTAATTACACCTTCACAGACTGTTTTTCCAAATAGGGTCCCATTCACTGGTGCCCAGGGTTGGGAGCTGGACGTCTGGGGGACACCATCCAACCCACTACAGATGGCCATGACCCTAGGTGGGGTGGACCTGGGCATTTCCTTACCCCTCTCTCTGTTCTGTCCTTCTCTCTTTAGAACAGATTAAAATGGACCACTTTGTTCCTTGTTCACTTGGCTGCAAGGCCCAGCATAGAGAAGGAAGCAGAAAATCCAGCAGTTGCTTTCAACTCCCAACTGCTACTACCCCATCCCACACCCAGCTCATGACCTTGGGCATGTCCCTGTGACCTTGGGCATGTCCCATCATCCCTTGGGTCCCGTTTTTGCCATGCATAAAGTGAGCACCATGTGCCAAGAGTTTAGTGAAATCAGAGAATGCCTCAAAGACCATCAGAGCTTTCAGGACAGCAGATACTTTCATTTATCATATACTTTCATGGTATTCGCAGTGAATGACATAACGAAAACTGATCTAGCGGATCTCTCCCAGGCTCATTTTACCTGGATTATTGTTAAATGCCCTCACCCCCCTGTCCCGCCTAGATGTCTCAATTAGGCTTCATCCTGGGCTCATCCCGTCTTGGCCCCGCCTCTTCATTTCTCCTCTTCCTGAAATCTTGCTGTTTAGAAACCTTTTTGTAAAGTGTGTTGGAGGATTTGGGATAAGAAGGGGCCAGTGAGGGTTCTTCCCTGGCAGTCCAGTAGTTAAGACTCCACACTTCCACTGCAGGGGGCACGGATTTGATCTCTGGCTGAGGAACCAAGATACCACACGCCACGTGGCGCAGCCCGAGTGCAATTGAAAAAGAGAAAAAGAAAAAGCGCCTTTGGGGAGGGGCGGGGAACGGCAGCCCCGCCTCTGATGGCTTCTGCTGCCCTCTGGTGGCCAACTTGGGCCCTGCCGGCAGCCGGTATAGAAAGTTGTCAGGAAATTGTTGGGAAATTAGCGAGGTTGGTTTTCTGTGTCCCTGCTCTCCTGCTCTGGCCTGGATCCTGCGCTTTCTATGAACTGTGCGTTGCTGTGATGCTTCCAGGGTGGTGATGAGAAACAGCCCCCATGGAACCTGTTAAGGTGGTGGCGGGGGGTGGTTCTGACCTCCCAGCAGCTTTTGTGAGGTCCCAGAAGGAATTTCTGTCATTAGAGTAGTTGAACTTCCCCAAGACACTGGCTTTTTATTTTTTTTTAACCTCTGGGACCTTGTGAATTGGGAGCTGACCGAGGAGCAGGCCACTCTGTGCCTCTCCCCATCCCCACCCTCTCCAGCCCCAGTTCTCTCTTCTGCCTTCTCCTGCCACCATCCTGAGGTACTTTACTCATCCTTGGAAGCTGCCCGAATGTTTTCAGAGGAGGGCGGCTGTGATTAAGTACACAGTTAACTCATTTTATCCTGAGAGGTGGGATGCATTATTATGCCCATTTTACAGATGAGGAAGTGGAGGCTCAGAGAGGCCAGAATGACTTGCCCAACATGGCATGCCGTAGTCAGACAGTCACTTCAGGTTCAGAGCCCCATTCTTCCATCTGCCCTCAGTGCTTCTCCTAGTTAGATGGAAAGGCTGCATGAGAGTCAGCCAGCAGACGATTCTCCTGTGGGTACAGCCCTGCAGAGTAGGGGATGGGAGAGGAAGGAAGGCAGGGGTCGGAGGGCAGAGCCCCCCACAAAGCAAGTAAAGTCCAATCAGAGCCCTGGAGGGCTCGGCACGGGGGTGGGGGGTGTGCGTGTGTGCTCAGTCCCTGCATGGAGTCGTGTCCGACCCTGTGTGACCCTATGGGCTGCAGCCCACCAGCCTCCTCTGTCCATGAGATTCTCCAGGCTAGAATACTGGAGTGGGTTGCCATGCTCTCCTCAAGGGGATCTTCCTGATTCCAAGGGTCCAACCCGCATCTCTTCTGTCTACCTGCATTGGCAGGCGGGTTCTTTACCACTAGTGCCACCTGGGAAGCCTGAGTTGGGGGGCGGGGCACTCGGCCTTTTACCACCCTGGCCCCCCTGCCGGCTGTCAGTCAGTCAGTCAGTTCAGTCACTCAGTCGTGTCTGACTCTTTGTGATCCCGTGGACTGCAGCACGCCAGACCTCCCTGTCCATCACCAACTCCCGGAGCTTACTCAGACTCACGTCCATCACATGGGTGTTGCCATCCAACCATCTCATCCTCTGTCATCCCCTTCTCCTCCTACCTTCAATCTTTCCCAGCATCAGGGTCTTTTCCAATGAGTCAGTTCATCGCATCGGGTGGCTAAAGTATTGGAGTTTCAGCTTCAGCATCAGTCCTTCCAAGGAATATTCAGGACTGATTTCCTTTAGGATGGACTGGTTGAATCTCCTTGCAGTCCAAGGGATTCTCAAGAGTCTTCTCCAATACCACAGTTCAAAAGAATCAATTCTTTGGCACTCAACTTTACAGTCCAACTCTCACATCCATACGTGACTACTGGAAAAACAATAGCTTTGACTCCACGGACCTTTGTCAGCAAAGTAATGTCTCTGCTTTTTAATACGCTGTCTAGGTTGGTCATAAATTTTCTTCCAAGGAGCAAGCATCTTTTAATTTGATGGCTGCAGTCATCATCTGCAGTGATTTTGCAGCCCAAGAAAATAAAGTCTCTTACAGTTTCCATTGTTTCCCCATCTTTCTGCTGGTTGTATCGACCCTCTAACTTTGAGAACCGCCCCGCTGCCCTGTGATGGGGAAGCCTGGATCTAGGAGCCAGGCTTCATGGGCCATGGAAGCTGGGCAGACCTGCTTTTTTTTCCTCCACTCTCTGAGCCCCACCTCTCTGCGACCACAAATAAGAAGTCTTAGTCGCTCTCCTGTAGGGTGTGTGGAGACTGGGGATTCCTTCCCGTGGGCCAGACATCCCTACAGAACCGTAGAAGACAGCCTCCCTGAGTCCAGGTGATACCACTCACCACCATTTAAAAGGTGACTGGCAGCTGATGACCAGGCAGCAGGCAGACAGTTTCCATGCAGCCCTGGGCATCACCGGCCTGCTCCGGGGTGCCTGTGGGGACACCTCCCTGCCTGTCTTCCCGCATGCCCAGCGCCAGAGGCTGTCTCCAGCTCTTGCTCAGCACTCCAAGGGGCCTTAGTGTGTCCTCGTGTGCGCCTTCCCAGGCAGCCTATGACTCCATTTTGCTGGCTCTTGAGCTCGATGCAAGCAGTCATCCCCAGTGCGCGACCTCTGTACACGTGTGTCCTTGCACGTGGGGGAGAAACCCCAGCCCCAGTTCCTGCCTCGTTCTGTTCCCAGCGCCCCTCTCATCTTCAGGTCTCCCCTGGGACACCCCCAGGACCCCACGGAGGAGCAGCAGGCCCCTTCCTGCTTAGCATAGCGCTCTCTCCCCCGCAGCTGCCTTGCCGGGTGACATCTCCCTGGAGTGCAGGAGCTGAGGTGCCCGGTGCTCCCCTGTGGCCCCCTGTCCCGCCCATCTCCCCGCCCAGCATTGCCCGGGGGGGGCTTTCCTCATCTTAAAGCTCCTTCTCTCTCCTCTGCAGTCGAGAACACCACTCACTGTGAGTTTGCTTACCTGCGGGACCTCCTTATCAGGTGAGAGCCGGGCGGTCCAGGGCTTGGCTGGGGAGGGGCTGACAGCCCAGAAGGGGCCTCCACCAGGGCTTCGGGCACTGGGCGAGGGCAATGGGCCAGCCAGCGGAGGTCTTGCCAGCGCGCCCTACCCATCTGCCTTCCAATTTGGGACCCCATTGTCTTAAAATGCCTTCTTGGAAATGAAGCAAGCAGTGAAAATCATTTTTACTTTTACTTGGGGGAGGGTTGAGTTTGCATCGCTACAGCCTGAGCCCCAGGAGGTCTCGGGTGCTGGGCACCCCACCTCTTGTCCTCTGACCTGGTGGAGGCCCCACCTCAGTTTCCTTGAGCCCAGGCAAGGAGGAGCCTGTCCTCAGCCCAGGTGGTAAGGCCTGGGCCTGGGCAGGTGAACAGAGAAGATGGGGGCTCCCTCCGGGGTGCCAGGGGCTCCCAGCTCCTCAGCCAGCAGGATGGATGCTAGGGATGAAGTCAGTAGGAGGGACAGGACCATCTCTCTTGGCCTCCAAGTTGGGGGAGGATACGGCTTCCTGGAGCTAGCCACCCTGTGCTGGAGAGCCTGGCTGCGGAAGGACGCCCTTCTGACACCCCCTTTCCAAACCTGCCCTGATGGTCAGTGGAGAAGGGACGCTTGAACACATGACCAGCAGGGGTGCCAGTACCTGCTTCCCCCAGGCTCTTAGCCGCCCGCTGCAGGCCGCTGCCCCTTACCTGCCCGCACACCTGCTCTTCTGAACCAGAGCAGGGACATTCCAGCCCTGCCCCCTGCCGGGGCCTCTGCACTCAGCCTGTCCCTGAACTGGCGATTGAGTTGACACAGAGAAAGGGGGTGTGTTGGAACACGTGGTCCTGAAAGTGTCTGGGGTTGCCATGGAGATCCGCCTCCTCACCCCCACATACTCCTGTCCAGGCTTGGTCTGTCTTGGTGGGGCTAAAGCGCTGCACTGGGGAACCCCCACCCCCCAGGGAACCATGTAGTGGGGATTGGGAGTGGGGAGGGCAGGCTGAGTGAGCAGGACCCCCGCCCCGCCCCCTGGCCCCCCCTTGTGACCCCTCCCCCATCCCCCCCCCCCCCAGGACACACATGCAGAACATCAAAGACATCACCAGCACCATCCACTTCGAGGCCTACCGCGTGAAGCGTCTGCATGAGGGCAGCAGCGCCGTGGCCAACGGCGTCGAGGAGAAGGCGCCCGAAGCCCAGGAGATGTAGACGCCGCCCGCCCCGGGACCCTACCCCGAGTCTTTACCATCTCCCGCCCCCGCCACCCGCCCCATTTTTATTTTATATAATTTTCTCCATGTGTCCTCGATCTCCGCCCCTTTCCACCTGCCAAGTAACAAGATGACAAGTGCCCTCTGAGTATGTCTGTTATTAGCCCACTGACTATGGGGACCAGGGCTGGGGAGGGCGGGGGCGGCTCTCTGGCCGTCCCTGAGGTCCAGAAGGGGTGGGAGGACCACTGACTCAGATCCCGACCCTGCTCCCACTCAAGGCCCAGCTCCCCAGGGCCAGGAGTGGCCCCCAGCTCTTAGAGCCCCCTGGAGCATGGCAGGGTGGTGCCTGCGGGAGGATTGGACCCTGCCGGTGGACTTGGGGCCCCTTCCTGCCCCCGCCTCCCTGCACGCCGCGGGGGAGCCCCCGAGCCCGCCCCTAGGGGAGAGCAGTTCATTCCACGAGACCCAAGTTGCCCATTGGCTGCTGCCCGCCCTCCAACCCGCCCGCGAGCCTGTCCTGGAGCAGAAAGTGCCTTTATCTCAGCCGTCCACGCGAGCCACCAGCTCTCCCCAGCTGTCCCCTTGGGCGGGGAACTGGGACAAGGTGGAGAGATGGAGATGTGTCTTCATCTCCCGTTGTGTCCCGCCCCCTTCCCCACCCCACCCCTTGCCATCCCCCCCAACCACCCCACTGGAATTTGATTGAGGATTCAAAGGAAGCAAAAGATGCACCCTACCCCACCCTGAATTTTGGGAAGGTCCAAGCAAGTGAATCTGGTAGAGGAGCTAAGGAGGAAGTGAAGTGCTGGCAGGTACCAGAAGGAAGTGGGGGGGGCGGTGTGAACCACGGCTGGGGGAGCTCTTGGGTGGTGCCGGCCCTGCCCCCACCCCGTGTGACCAGGGAAGCATGTCTGTCTGTCTGTTTAGACACCCATTCGGCCCGAGACGCTCTGGTTAAGTGAATGCCCAGTCGGCCGCCCCAGACACACAGCCCTCCCAACCGAGGCCTGACTGACACCACGACCAGGGAGGTGGGAGGCCAGGCAAGCCTGACTGTGTGTCGCCCTGATGTGCCTGGGGCCCTGCACCTCCCCCGCCCCCAGAGCCCATCGTGAAGACCCCCAGAGAGGGATTGATCAGGGGTCAGGTGTCCACGGCCCACAGTCGGGCTCCACGTCCTCACGGCCCCGGGCCTGGGAGCTCAGACGCGGGACGATGATCCGTGACCATCTGCAGGCCCCAGGCTGGCTTCCTGCGGCCCATGACGAGGTGGGAGGGGTGGGTGCAGACCGACTGGAGCGTGCGTGTGTGTGCGCGTGCACGTGTATGTGTAGGTCATTGCTTCGCGTGTTTACTCCCTCCCCACCTAAGAGAGGAAGGACCCCTTAGCGGAAACTGTTTACTTGCCGACTTGCCATTTTTGCCAAAACCACGATGCTGAAGGATGCGTCTGTCGCCAGCGTCGGGTCCCATCCGTGGGGCAGCCTCTGCGGTCCGGGTCCAGCCGCCCCGTCTTGGGATGCCTTCGCTTCCTTCTCTGTAGCCAGATTTTGAAAACTTGTTAGTTTCACTGGGATCTGTTCCACAGTGGCCTTTTGCTATGTGCCTCCTGAGAAATTCGTCTCTTTTTGTATAAATAACAAAGTGTTGAAAATGTATTTCCTGAAATAAATGTTCCAAATGCAAACCCGGAAGACTCTAGAGTGGGGATTTTTTTTTTTCCTCTCTCTTTTCTGACCCCGGAAGCGCGGCGCTCCTTTGATGAGTGTGAAGATAGCGTGGAAGTGATCACTGGGGAATTGTTTCATCTCCTTTTGGGAGGAAGAAAGGTTTCAGGGACTTAGAAGCACTGATTTAAGGGGATGATTGAAAAGCGAACAGAGAGTCTTAATTTATTCATTAAAAGGAGGCTTTGAAGGCATTCCACCGGGCGGTGCTGTGTGCTGCTTCTATGACTGTATCCTGCAAATAATGTTTTTCTTCTTAAAATCGAAGTCTGTTGCAGTGACTCCTGTGAGCTGGTCAGTGTTTGACAATCATTTCATACCAATTTATTCCAAGAGAACTCAGTCACCAAAAGACTGGAATAAAAGAGGCTGCCCTGAGAGGTTTTTCTGCATCCTGAGTGGGGCATCTAGACGGGGGATCTGGGTACTTCTTATCTGTGTGCAGGCCTTACCAGCCCCCGTCTCCCTCCTGGTAGGGTGGCCTGAGGCAGCCTTCACAAGCCACGCCAAAGTGGACAGCTTAAAGCAACAGAAAGGGGTTTTCTTGCAGTCTGGGGGTCAGGCATCCAAGATTACTTGTCGGCAGGATGAGGCTCCCTCTGAAGGCCCAGGCAGGAGCCGTCCCACCTCTTCCAGCTTGGGTGGCTGGTCGCTCCAGTCTCTGCTTCGGTCCTCTCCGGGTGTTTCTCATTGGCTCTCAGGCCCACCCTCATCCAGGGTGACCTCATCTCGGTTCTTACCTTAACACTGCAAAGACCACGTGTCCACGTGAGGCCACGTTCTGAGCGGATGTTGATTTGGGGGGCTGGGGGGGGGTCACTGTTCAACCCATGATACCCCCATTCCTGCCCCCATCCAGCCTCGGGGGAGCAGAAAAGCCCTGAACTGGGACTTGGGTGATGGGCTCGAGCCTCTGCCACCAACAGGCCGGGTGGGGTGGCCTCAGGACCATCTCTGCCCCTTCGGTTGGGCAGGTTGGCTCATTCGGGAGAACGCAAGTGGACTTTTGTCTCCAAGTGAACGGATGAACCGTGGCCACACGGATGAAGTAGATGGCTCCGTGTGGACATAGTCTATTTCAGGATCCGAGGTGTGTCATCGACACCCGTGTGTGCTGTGGGTCCAGGTGGGGGCGTGGGGGCTGCCCACCAGCAGGGCTGCAGCCCTGGTGGCTGGCATCTCAAGGCCGTCCTGGCTCTGCCCGGCCCCTCAATCCCTGTAACTCTCGGCGGTCCCTGAACCTGAAATGCCCCTCCCTCCTCCAGACTAAAATGGTCCCTGCTGCCACCCCTGCCGGCCACACCTGTCCAACAGTGTCTCTCTCTGGCCCTGACCCTCTCGGGCCGACACCCTCTCCAAGCCCTGCTCTTGGCTCAGAAATCCTGGTCGTCCCCTCAGGGGCCCACTGACTGTGTCCAGCCTGCTCCGTGCCCCTTGGGCTGCTGTCCCCTCCAATGACAGCCATCCTTGCTCTGGCACCAAGAGGGGCCCAGGCCATCCTCTCCACCTAACTCACCTGCCCCTCCCATCCAAGGAGGAACGGCCTGGTGATGGGGCCTGCCCAACCAAGCAAATCCCCTGCTGTAGATCCATGTGACTGAATGTCCCAGCTTGCCTGGGCATGACGGGTTTCCAGGGACTCGGGACGTCAGTGCTAAACCCAGGGAGATCCTGGGAAGCCTGGACGAGTTGATCCCCACATAGACCCCCACATCGCCTTCTCCTGCCTCTCGAACCCTGGCTTCAGGCTTGCCAGCCCCAGGAGCTTCTCGAAGACCTTTAAGACTCAGGCTGGGCTGTTGCCAAGTCATCCCAGAGGGTGAGCAGGAGGCCCCAAGGATGGGCCACAGCGTCCTGCTGGGGGTGGGGAGGTGTCCCAATAGGACTGGGAGGACCAGGTGTCCTGGGTCAGCCCCTCCCCTGCTCTGGGCTGCAGGGTGTGGACAAGCCAGAAAATAGAATCAACTGGCAGCCTGTGGGCTTGCCCAGACCTGCCCTGCCTCGTGCATCCGTTGAGGACCCAAGGCAGGTGGGCTCCACCTGGGAGGAAGCCAGCTGGAAATCAACTGACTCCAAGCTCTCCTTTTGGGTCGGTTTATGGGTGTGCCTCTCCTGTTTGTAAACAGCACCTTCCGACTGTAAAAGTAGCACATACAACATACACCAGGTGGAAAATGCCAGTGGGGGAGGCCCCGAGAGCCGAGCGGTGATGTGCTGTCCATGGGGGTAAGTGCTGGACGGAGAACTTGGCTGCTGCAGGGTCACATAATGGGGACCCAACACATTCCGGGGCGGTGTCGGGAAGGGCCTCCTTTGTGCGAAGCTCCGAGCCAGGAGGGAGCTTGGAGCTGGAGGAGCCAGGAGGCCGGAGAGGCTAGCAGGCAGGCAGAGATGGGGCAGGGGGCAGGCCAGGCTGCAATGCGGACCGGTAAGCACCCCATGCACCAGCTCTCCTCCCCGCGCCCCTGGAGGTGGGCTCCGTCCCCTCACGGGTCTGTGTGAGCCCCGGCCGCCTCCAGAGCCTCTGCCTCGGGGTTCCCAGGACTGGCCCCGAGGGACACGCCTGCTGCAGGCCGCCCTCCATGCCCAGGGCCCCGGCCAGCCCTCCAGGGTCCTGCAGGCATCCCTGCCCAGCTGTGAGGCCGCCACTTCCCGGGTAAACGGGGTTCTGCTGAACCTTGGGGAAGCTACAGCTGCGGGAATGCCGAGACCCCAGGCAGAGAAAGTATCTTCCTTTCAGTTCAAAGAGGACAGCTGTGAATAATGAGAATGAAAAGGGAGTGGAAATGATTAAAGCTGCCCAGAGTGAGTGGGGTTTGAACCGTCCAGCAGATTCAAAAACAATTACTGGGAGAGTCGGCCCTGCCAGGGAGATGCTGCCCGCCGCCCACAGCACTGCGTTCTGCTCCTCCCCTGCCCCCATTACTTCTTTCCCCCTTCTCTGCTCCCCCTCCCGCCCTTGGGTACCAGGCGCACCAGCATCAGGCAGTCCCAACATGTGGAGAACAGCCATGGCCTCTCCATCTCCCTGATTCTTGACAGCATCAGAGTCCGTTCTATGAAGCAATATTACGTCCCTTGAAGGAAACAGCCATGTGGAGTGACCCCGTGGGAAGGGGACTGAGGACACGACCCAGGTGGAGCTGAGTCTGGGGCCATGACTCACAGGAAGCAAGCCCCAGGGGCATCTTCACTGGCCCAGCCAGGGTGGGTACCGCTAGAATCAGGATTCTGCCCATCTCCTGCATCCCCTTAGGGGCCCCACGGTGGAGGGGTTGGGGATACGTACCACATGACATCTTTCTCAGCCTGGTGCTGGCCACCGTCTATAAAACTTCTTACCCTTAGCCAAAGAATTGATGCTTTCAAATTGTGATGCCGGAGAAGACTCTTGAGAGTCCCTTGGACTGCAACGAGATCCAACCAGTTCATCCTAAAAGAAATCAACCCTGAATATTCATTGGAGGGACTGATGGTGAAGATGGAGCTCCAATACTTTGGCCACCTGATGCGAAGAGCCGACTCATTGGAAAAGACCCTGATGCTGGGAAAGACTGAAGGGAAGAGGAGGGGACGACAGAGGACGAGATGGTTGGATGGCATCACTGACTTAATAGACATGAGTTTGAACAAGCTCTGGGAGATGGTGAAGGACAGGGAAGCCTGGCCTGCTGCAGTCCATGGGGTTGCAAAGAGTCAGATAGGACTGAGCAACTGAAAGAGAACCACCCTTAGAACATCCTTGGCTAGAGTGGTGGGTGCCTGGGGCTGGGGGAGCGGGCAAGGGGAAGGATGTTTCATGCGAACAGAACTTCAGTCTGGGGAGAGAAATAGTTCAGGAGGAGGATGGTGGTTGCACAACAACGCGTATGTACTTAATGCCCCCTGAGCTGTATATATATTTTTGGCCATGCCACGTAGCTTGTGGGATCTTATTTAGTTTCCCGACTAGGGTTCGAACCCACGCCCCCTACATTAGAAGTGCGGAATTTTAACTACTGGACCACCAGGAAAGTCCTGTACATTTAAAAATAGCTAAAATGGTAAACTTCATTATGTATTTGTTGTTGTTTAGTTGCTCAGTCACATCCGACTCTTTTGCCACCCCATGTAGCCCACCAGGTTCCTCTGTCCAGGCAAGAATGCTGGAGTGGGTTGCCATTTCCTTTCCCGGGGGATCTTTTGGACCTGGGGATTGAACACGTGTCTCCTGCATGCGTGTCCTGCATTGCAGGTGGATTCTTTACCCGTGAGCTACCAGGAAAGCCCGTGTACATTTTAAAGCAATCTTAAAAGTAAGTGTTAAAGCAATGTCTGTGTCTCAGCCCTTCTGGGCCTGGTCTGTCTCACAGCAGCGGATGTGGCTCCAGGTGTGTGCCTTGGAGTGATGGGGGTCAGGCAGGAGGCCCCTGCACTTCGGCAGGATGTGGTGAGAGCGGAACGGGGCCTATCCCAGAGTAAGCAGAAGCCCAAGCCTGCGGGGGCCATGGAAGAGGCTGCTGAGAACAGGGCTGGCAAAGCCACAGGGTCCCTGCAAGGCACAGAAAGATTGAGGGAGCAGAGGGGTGACCAGGGTGGGGTGGGGGAATGAGTCCTTCCCAACTGCATTCCTAGGGCTGCCAGAGTCTGGAAACAGAATCATAGGTTGCGCTGTTAAATCTG